GAAAAAAATCACAAATCATAATAGTTCATAGATTTTTTTTTCTTTCTTTTGTCCCCAAAGGACTCATGCTTATTAATGGATGTGGGTGCAGGGCTTGGAGAACTTCCTGCAAGTTTTCTAAATTTCTTTTTCATTAAGGGAAAGAAATGAATGCAACCTTAGCAAACCAATGCATGCAAATTATAGAAAAATAAAAAATGCAGGAATGTTAAAGATGAAAATAATTTTCTACTACACTATTAATAATAGTGACTGCATCTCTTTTTGATTTTCTAATGCATGCATCACACACATTTTTATGTAAAAATAATATTGTACTGAGTAAATTATAACTTGCTTTTAATATCCAACTATAGATGATAAAATTTTCACAAGTAACCCACTTACAACTTAATTTTAATGAGTACATAGTATTACATTGACACTTGATAGAATTAGTTGAACCAATTCACTTTGATAGACATGTAGACTGCTTCCAAAATGCCACTATTATAAACAACCCTACGATTAACATTCTTGTGGGTGTATGTTCGTTCACACCCTTAATTATTTTCTTAGTGCAATGCATCTAACTGGAGTTACTGGGTTAAAAGCAACACATAATGTAAAAGCTTTTGATGTTCTTTACATATTGCCCTTCAAAAAATTATAACAACCTGTATTCATATCAGTAGTGGGTAAGGGTGGGTGTTAGTCCATCTCTATGAGATTCCAGTGCATGTTTTTGGGTTTCACCTTCTCTGATCTCCCCACTTAATATTGATCTTGTCTTCACAAACGCCTACACTGTGGACCTCAACCTCTATGGTCAGATACAGAGAGAGAGTTACAGGGAATGTTTACCCAGCCCCTACAATTGCACAGTTCGATTTCCTGCAAAAACCTCCCACTGGTTCTGTTCCTCTGGTTGAACCCTGACTGGCAAGAGCATCAATAAGGAGACCATTGGAGGGGACCCTCCTGCAGAGACAGAGGTGATAGTGCAGTGAGAGAGGAAGTGATGGATGTGAGATATATTTAGGATGTGGAATTCAAGACTTGTGATCCACCCATTAGGGCAGTGAGGAAGGGGAGGGGTGAAGAATGACCCTGGAGGTTCATCGATGTGCCTGGGCTAAGAAGCGGGGCTACCATCACAGGTGTGGAGCAGGCCAAGAGGGGGAGATGGAGAACTGAGTCTGCAAGTGTTCAAAAGAGGGCCTGAAAGATCTCTACGTGCGATTTGTGGTCGTGCGTGGATACAGGGGTCTGAAGCTTTAGTGGGATGAGTAGGATAATTAGTACCACAGGAGGCTGAGACAATGGCCGTGGATGAGCTCACACTGGGAGGGCAGAAGAAGTGATAAAATGAGATTCAAGATGGAACGCTGAAAAATCTAATATGTAAGGGACAAATGGAGGAAAACAAATTAAAGAAACAATTTTAAGAGTCTGAGATTGAATGTTGCAGAGGAGAAACCAGGCTGCACAGACTATGAAGGACTGAATAAAAAAAAGAAAAGGTGCTCAGAGGGTCGGATGCCACTGAAAACTTGAATAAAATACGGGTTAATCAAGTGTCCACTGGATTCATCAGGCAGGAGGTCCCTGGCCTTTGTTGTCAGCAGTGCAGTGGCGCGGCGGGGTGAAGCCAAACTGCAGTAAATGAGTGGGAATTTAGGAAATGGAAACAAGCTGGCATAGGCTCTTGTTAGTAAAAGCTTACCTGAACAGAGAAAGCAACACATGGAAGATATATGGGTATGTTTATATGCTGAGGGTGTAGGGCCATTAGAGAGGAAAGACCAAAATTAACTATACTTACTGCAGAAGGAGGAAATGTTATAGAATATGCTAAATATTGCTAAGCTTAATTTCTCTCTTTCTTTGTAAATATAAATAAAAAATGAATACCTTAAGAGAGTGAGTAATAAACCAGATTGGGAGAAAATATTTATAAAAGATATATCTGATAAAGGACTTTATAAGAAACGTACAAAAAAGCTTTTAAAAATCACCACTAAAAAATGAATAAATCAGTTTAAAAATCGTCAAAAGTTTGAACCTCACCAAAGATAATCAGATGACAATAAGCACATGAAAAGATACTCCACATCATATGTCAACAGGGAAATGAAAATTAAAAGATGACATAACACTACACTCCTATAAGAAAAGCCAAAATCAAAATACTGACAACACCCAATGCTGTGTGAATGTGGAGCAGAAAAACAATTATTCAAGGCTGGTGGGAATGCAAAATGTCATAGTCACTTCAGAAGACAGCTGAGCATTTCTTACAATATACAAGTATTCCAGCGACCACACTCCTTGGTATTTGCCCAAATGAGTTGAAAACTTATGTCCACACAAAAACCTGCACACGGGTATTTATAGCAGCTTTACTCATAATTTCCGAGCTTCTCCAGCAACAAAGACACTTTTCAGAGATGAATCAATGAATAAATTATTCGTATCCAGACAATGGAATATTACTCTAAACTAAAAAGAAATGAGCTATTAAGCCATGAGAAGACTGGAAGGATTATATATGGAACATAAAGAAAATAAAAATCACAAAATATGACAAAAATAACTCTTAGACGCTAAGAAAAATATGGTATTTACCAGAGGGGAAGAGAAAGGAAGTGAGAGGCAGGGCTCCAGGGAGTCAATCTGACATTGATGAATAAAATTTGACTCTAGAACTACCATGGAGGGTGCAGTGAGGTACACACCTATATCAAAATGTGAAGCTGTACTCCCAGAATTTACATAGTATTAAACCAATGCTGTATCAAGAAAAATTTAATTTAAAAAATATAGGACAGAGTTTGCTGCTAGGTGAGTAAACACTGTAAAGTGTTAATTAACTAAAAAGAAAAGAAATATCATGCCATGTTTTTCTAATGCATTTTATAATGACACAAAATTTATTTTTTAAATTTTATTTATTTTTTACATCTTTTTTTCATTTTTGCACAGTGTATGCATTTTCATCTTGGTTATAGTCCCCATACAATTCCCACCCCCCTTGTTTTGATCCTACTCCCTCCATCCCCCCTGTAGTGTGTCTCTGGTTTGTAGTTGTTTGTTGACTTTGATTTTTACTTTATTATAGTCAGTCTTTTTCCTGGTCCCTTACTTAGGTTTTCTAAATTCCTGCTATGAGTGAGACCATCGGGCATTTTTCTTTTTCTTTCTGACTTGCTTCGCTGAGCATGATCCCTTCTGGCTCCATCCATGTTGCTGCAAATTGCATGAGTTTATCTTTTTTGATTGCTCAGTAATATTCCATTGTGTATATGTGCCACAGCTTCTTGATCCACTCATCTATTTTGGGGCATTTGGGTTGTTTCCATAGCTTAGTCACTGTCATATGGTAGTTGTATGCAAACAATAATGTAGTAAAATACATTATTTTCCACAGAAAGAGTAGTAAAAGCTTCAGAAAATTCTTTAAAAACAGAAAATTAGATTTCTCATACTTCTCCCCACAAGCCAGTGACTAATCTTGTGAGTTGCTGGAGTTTGCACTCCCTGCTTTGTAGATCTGTGGGAACGTATAATCCTTGTGGGGGCGAGTATCAGAAATCTACTCTTTTCCCTTTCACAAAAGTTACTTTGGTTTGCCTATAGATCACCTGCCTGCCATGAAACACAACTTGATATCCATGTGCTCCCTCACAGACACACCTGTGTGTGGCAAGGGTGGAGAGCAGATTTCTTTTTTTTACTGTTGGGTGAAAGGTATCTTTTCAGGATCCTCTTGCAAGGTCGTTCAAGGAAATCCTGCCCAGACCACTGATTTCCACTCCTCCACTATAGGTCTCCCCAGCCCATCACCTCCCCACTTCACTATCCTGCATCTCTTCCTATTTTTTGCCCTAAATGGTGAAAATTCTTCTTCCCTGAAAACAAAGTCTTAACCCCACACAGTTGCACTTTTGCAATACAACCTCTCTCTCCCCCTTTGTCGTGAATGTTACTAAAGAGGGGAACACAGGTGTCTCTCTATTTGCTCTTCAGAACCACCAGGCAATCCTCTGCCGCCAAGATTTCACATTCTCCTGCCTAGTAAAACTGATTCTGCTGCTGGTCGCCATGTCCTGTATGGTTACCACGCCCGCCAGTCTGGTCACTAACCCAATGACCTTTCCTGTGTCCTCACTCTGGCTGCTTTTTCCATAGCATTTAGCCTGATTGACCATACCTTCCTTAATTCCCTGGCTTCTGAGATACCAAGTGGTTCTCCTGCCTTCTTGGCATTCTTTATTTTTACTGGACTATTGGCAAAACTCTAGGCAAGAGTGATAATGTTAGTGTCAATGCTTGTTTCACTCTTCTTGTTTCAGAAAAGCCTCTCACGCTATTAGTGCTAGCCATTAAAATTCCACCTGAGAGCCCATCATCGAGGTTGCTTAACAACTTAAGCACAACTTAAGAACTACTTAACTCTAGGGGAGAAGAATGGAAATTGTCCAGGTATCATTCTATGAAGGAAAATATTTATCCCCTTCGACTATCTAAGCACTTGCATTGTGTCTTACATATATGCCTGCAATTCACCTCCTCCAGTTGTACTGTAAATCAGTTTTAACTTAAGGCCTTTCAACAGATTGGCTAGAAATACCAATCCTTTATCATGAAATGGCTTGTATATGGGGCATTCAACAATTATTTTAAACATAAATAATGAACATATTTATGTTTTACAGTGAAAATCCAGTGTTAATTACCAATCCATCTTATCAGGGTGTGAGGGAATCCAGTGATTTCTTTGTATATACTGCTGTGCAAAGATCCTTTAGCAACATTTTCTATCCTTTATGAAATGAAAATAATGAGTTTTTTCATAAGAAAATGGACATATCCTCTGGATTTCCTGTGTATACAGCAACCTTTCATTTTCTTTTTTATTATCACTTTGATTTTGCCAAGGGATTTTTGTGTGACTCATGAAGTAGGCAATAATCATGACCAAGTATTAGCTTAGAACCTTTTTAATAAGGAAGGTCCTTCAGGCACTTTTATTAATAAGCAGATATAAACTTGACAAGAGCACCTTTCAAAGTCACAGTTCTAATTGTTTTTGTAAGGTCAACCAGAAGGCAGAGAACCCAATGGTGATGGCTTAGCATCCAAATAAGGACAACCAATTACCAGCCTATGCCTTCCAGAAAACATAAGCATCACCCCTTCTGTTTCTGTCCTCAGGTATGGAGAAAAGTTGGGGTTCAAGACTTGGCTTGTCTTGACCAAGCACTTGCTTTGTTAGTAGGCAAGGGCACTTGCTTTGTTAGTAGACAGGGTCTCCAGGCCTCCCCATATTCTTGGACACAATGGTGGCTATGCTCTCTGTGCCAAAACTTCTCATCCCTCACCTTCATCTAGACCTTAAAGTGTCTGATTCTCCCAGGGCATGGGCGAACCAGTGGACCAGCAGCAACGGCGGTGCCTGGCTTGGGTTGTTTCTTCACACTGAAGGATTCTCCTGAGGCTGACTCCACTGAGGCCACACTCGGGAAGGAATGGCGCAAATCATGGTGTACTGGGGATACCGGCGGTCCCACAGGAGCTGCCACCTTGGCTGCCACCACCAGAGCTGCTGGAGCCGGATTAGCTGGAGAAGGTGCAGGAGCAGCTGCATCTGCCACAGGGGTAGGCCCCCCTCCATTGTTGCCAGCTGGTAGGGGCTGTGGGAACACATGAAAAGAGAGGACATTTCCTTAGGTTATCTACCTTTCTTCTTCCGGACCACGCCACCCATGTTCTGGGTGGAAGCTTCACCTTATTCGCTCACAGTATTACTTTTATCTGAAGGGATCTGGCAACGAAGAACTACCTAGGTGCAAAGGATTGCCATCAGAGCTACAGAGGAGAGATAACAAGTCTATAATAGCCTCAGTCTCACCAACTGTATTGGGGACAGTGGATTTACGCACACAAGTCCCATGAGCAAAAGCACACCACCTCACAGTTAACCCTCATCAACAGCATCACCCCCTTTATCATCTACACTCAGTCTCTAGAAACTGCCAGGCAGATGTGGCCTCTGCACATTCAGAAAACCACTCCCAAACCTGTATAAATCAAAAGGTGGCCTTGTCGCTTCCCACTAGAGTAGTTCTACCCTGTAACCATTAGTTTGTGGGAAAGGAACACATAACTACAGTAGCCTTTCGTTTATTGATGCTTTCACATACCATGGCTATTTAGACTATGGGGTCAGAAGGACAGGGCAGCAAGTACCCTGAAATTACTAACACAGTAAATAACCATTAGGCATTCATGAATTCTGAAGATGAGGGCAAGTGGATCCAAGAAACCATTACCTGTGCTTGGAACATGGTGCAGGAAACCTCAACCTCTTCCCCACCAAGCCGTTGAATGTGAGACCCTTTACAGAAGCCATATTGCTGCCCATAAAGAGAGAAATTATATGAGTTGATTCAAAACACGGACTCCTCCCTCAGTCACTGATACTCCAACATATCAAGGCAAAAAACAGAAATCCTTAATTCCTTTTTAAGAAAGCACTTTTCCAAAGTTTACAGTTTTCTGCTTAGAGAAGTTCTGTGATAAATAAATTGATATATGATACAGACAATAGATTCTTTTGAGATAGAAGAAGATCACCAATAATCCCCAAAATGGCGGTGACTCAGGAGAGTTTTTGTTCACAACCATGTGTGTCTTTCTTACTTTTAGATACTATTAAACATTATTTAAAAAATTGAGATATTTGTGATAATACCATTTTGTATCCTGTATTTTTCACTTACTACAGTGTAACATTTTCTTATATCATTCATTATTCCTTGAGAATATATTTTTAGGATGTGCATAATTTTCTATTTGCTGATGTATCATATTTTATTCAATGACCCCTTTATGATGGGCATTGAAATTTCTTTTGGGTTATTTTACGTCCATAATAAATCATCTTTATAGATACATTTCTGTCAAATATTTAGGATGACTTCTTTAGGCTGAATTTCTAGAAGTGGATGCAAGAGCTCGAGGACTTAAAATGTTTCAAGTCAGAGGTACACCCTGGCAGTCTACACTTCATACCCTCAGTCATCCAGCACCACTCAGCCTAATTAGGAAATAGCCTGTGTCTTACTCCCAACTCCAAGGGCGTCCAATGGGTGAGATGATTTGGCAGCAGCTCTAAAGGAGGCAGGTGACACCCCAGAGGACCCAGGAAGAGGCATGTCAAACTGCTGGCTGTTTCTGCAGCCCTGGCCACTCACTTGCTCAAGTCTGCTGTGTTCTAGTGTTAGGGGGAAAAGGATGTCCTAAAGCTAATTCCATACAGGCTTTGTGGACTCCACCCCCACCCCAGGCCAAAGCCAAAGACACTGGGAACTCCAAATCCCATCACCACCAAAGGGAAGGTGGCTGGGACCTGAGGGTGGGGTTAAGCAGCCAGGTGGGGTTAAAGCCAGACACGTGGGCTTTGGAGGGGTCCCCCATTTTGGCTCTCCGCCAGCTCGCAGCGTCTGGCGAGCTCAGAGAGTGCCTTTGGGTTTCCAGGTCGTCGGATCAGGTAGGAAGCATTAAAGACTTTATTTCCCTATTTTCTCCCTGAGTTGTACATTTTCCTTATTTCCTTTTCCCTTGTAAAAAAACCTTTTATTAACCTTTTGTGTGTGTCTGTAGTGGAGTATTCATAAGTCCCTTTTAAGCGCGCGGGTGAGGACCCACAGCCAGGAACCCGTTCAATATCGGGGCTGCTCTATAACACTAGGACCAGCTTTATTGCCCTGGGGCCTGGCCCACTCACCTTTTCCGCCAACAAGTTGCATGCAGCTGGGTCTGTCACCTCTTTAGCAACACAGTCTGTGGCAGCCACTACAAACTCCACATAGGTGTAAGGTGGGACAGGCTAATGAGAAGAAATGAAATGCTTGTGAGGAAACGTGACTTAGCATGAAAAAGGCAGGAAGGAAAGATAGGAGGAAGCAGAGGGAGCCACAGTCTTGCCCAAGGCCAGGGAGCACATTCCTGCATAGCAGCTGCATAGCCAGAGGCTTCCAGGGGATCCTTGCTGAAGCCTGACCTGAGCACGACCCCTCCTCCTCCTCCTCTGCCCCCTCTTCCACACACAGGCTACTGCAGATGGGGCAGGAGAGTGAAGAGATGAACCCCTCTTCTACCTTTTTTATGGAGCAGGATCAAATGGAGAATGTAGGTGAAAGTATGGATGATGCTTGTGCTCTTGTTTTTTATAGCTCTTGGAGTATACAGACACTTGCATTGTCACAATCAAAATTTTTTTTTAGTGATTTAAAAGCCACTTTCAGATCCTGCATTATATGCCTTTTAGTATTTAAGTAGGCGCCTCCCTTTCTACCAGTCAATTAGAGGAGTGTTAACTTGCACAGGGGTGATGAGCGATGATGAGGTGGACATCACTCCCACCCTTGAACAGGGAGCCCAGCTGAACTAGAAGGAAGAACTGAGGACCCGCCTATCTGTGTGGGAACCCTTTTCGGTGACAGCACTTTAGCACTGAGAGTCTCAGAAGCTTCTTTGTCCTCTGGACACTCAAGGTCCTCTACCCCTAAGCCCTCTTTTTTGCTTTTTCTCCCACCACCCACTTTGTCCTCTCTGTTGCAATCCCCGCATCTGCTCTGTCCCTCACCCGTTTCACCACGTATATCCCCAAAGTTCTACCGGACTGTCAGAAATTTCGGTCTCAGTCTTACCACAATTTGAGCCCGGGAAATTTCCACAAGCAGGTAGTAGGAGCCGTTGCTCTGAGCGTTGAAGGCAGCCAGCGCCTTGTTTATGGCTTGCACCACTCTGGTGTCATTCATCGGGGCCAGCAGGGGACACTTTGGACACACCTTCCGCACGTCCTCAGCCGAGTCTATGCACAGACAGAAGCACCCCCGATATGGGTTGGGATTTTGTGGAGTTCACCCCAGCTTTGTTTATTTAGAAAAGCTAAGCCATGTTTCGTTAGTTTCGCTGCTTCTTAATAACAGACCCTTCTGATGGCTCCGGCCTTTCTGATCTTTCTTGCAGGAGCCTCTCAAAGGAGACTTTTTCACCTCAAGAAGGAACAGTGCCTTAAAAAACAGTTTTAAAATCCGCCAAACACTCCTGGCGGATTTACCTTCTCCCTTTCCTTACTAATAAAGTGGCAAAACTAATTATACTGAAAACAATTTAGATTCCTTCCTCACTTCTCTCTACAAGATTAAAATAACAAGACTGATCATCTTTACCTGGACTGGAATCACATTTTGCAGACAACACTGAAAACTTGCCGTCCTCTTTCAGCAGGTGGAAATCACAGTCTCCTTCCACAGCCTGGAGAAATAAGGCCACAGTGAAAGCCAGGAGGAGGGCTGGCCTTCCACCTTCTCACCCAGGAGGAGTGGCCTCAGGCATGGTTGTCACAGGCTAGCCTCACCAAACCATCTTCATTGGTTGATACTGCAATTCGACAACTTCTGGTATCAGACCAGAGAGTTAGACTGTTGCAAAAATCAGCTCAAAGGACAGTGGCCTAAATGACACTCTTAGAAACTGCCCAAGGGCCAACTTGGAAGGCAGGCTGGGAACTGGATAAAATGGGCCTGCTCTGTGCACAACCACAATGGAAGTGGGAGGGGCACCACCCTCAGTCACCCAAGAGGGGCACTTACATGCTGTGCCACCTGCCTCACGGTGCAGTTTTCCACAGGGGTGGGGTCTAGGGCGTGGCAGGTGGTTTCCAAGGTGTCTAGTTCAAGCTCAAACACCTCTCCTACGGGCCGCTGTGGAGACATTGAAAGGAGGTGAGCGGTCAGTTCCCTGCTTCTGTTGAGCCAGCCAAAATATGATCCCCCATTGGGTTTGAACCCACCCCTGCTGGAGACGTGAGGGGGATGTCATCCCTATAGTTAGCCTGCACCTCCATCTAACTGCCGGTTGGCCTGTGGGTAAATGGAATGAGCTTCTCATGTCTTCCTGAGTTGGCTGGGCAAGCTCTGAATGGGGTTTGCAGGGAGGAGAAGTGCTTGGTTTAGACAGGCTGATGGAGCCAGTCATCTTTCTGAATGCTACCTGGGGGCTGAACATGAGTGTTCATCCTTATTTAACATTTAAACTTTCACCCCTTTAGTAGGTTTTGAAAATGTCAGCTTTGGACTTTTTTCAGTCAATCAGCTAAGAAAAGGTGTTGTAATTGTCTTCACTTTATCTTCTCCACCCTCCCTCTACTTTTTCTTCCTCCCTTTTCAGCATCTGCTTGCTTTCTTTCCCATTTTCTTTGTCCTTCTAAAGGAAAGGTTTCTACTTTTTGTCTTTTGGCCAGTAGATAGCTGGATGGACACTTGTTGCTCTCGACTTCCCCCTGCTGGTAGTAAGGAGGAAGAGCGCGCCTCCCGCGGGCACTGAGGATGCTGTGTGTAAGGCACTAGCCAGGCAGAGAAGACCATGGTAGCCCAGCTTGCACAGCTCCTTGGAGCTTTTCTTGTCTGTTCACCTGTTCTGTATCCTTTCTTCAAAGCCTGGGAAATACAGAAGGTATAAATTTGCCTTTTTTTCTTTCAACTCAGCTCTGCCTGCCGCCCTAGTGCTAAAAGATTTAGTCTCCCCTCCTGCAAGAAGCAGTGTTTTCTGATCATCTGAGCTACAATATAATTGCAGCTCTTCTCAAATCCACCTGCGGCAATCCTGATTTCAAATATTTTGTCCCATTGTGAGATCAGATGTCAGTCAGTCAGCCCAGATGTCCTGTATTTACCTTACTTACCTTCCTAGGTCATAAAGCTCTCAAGGGCACATTGTCTTTCCCTCCTTTGTGAGAAGCTGAGCCACAAAAATTGCCAGTATTTGGCTGGTTTAGATACACAAAAAATGGAATTTCATATGGTTCAACCTAATATCTCCCATAGCACCCAAAACTGAATCAGAGGAAGGAGCAAAGGTGTAGAATCAAATCCCAAGCCTATGCTTACTAATTATATGACCTTGGGAAAAAAAAAAAAATGCCCTAATATGTCAGATCCTTGGTTTTCTCATGTGCACTACCTACCATGCAGGCCTGGAGAGCAGAAGGGGTAAGGAGGGGATATTTGAGGAAGGGATAAGGAGATGATATCTCATAGTAGTTAGCTGTCAAATATCAATTTCATTCACTCTCAGTCTTCTTCAGAGAAATGGAAGCCAAAAGAGATAAATGATTTCTAGTTAGTGGTGATTTGACATAAGAATCCTATCTTTTCAGCCCTAGTTTTTCTGATGAAGTTACACTTTCTACCTGTGATCTTCAAAATATCATTCGAAACCTTTTACATACTCTCCAACCGCCTCCCACCCCCAATTCAGGACCCTCCTTGAGACCTGTGACTCCGGTAAAGAATGTCTTCTTTTGACCTCTGCCTGACCCTTTCTTCATGCCTGCAAGAAGCAGAGCGCTCACCCCTTTACAGTTCCACTTGTGTGGGGAGATGTGCTCTTTGGAGATGCCAAGTTGAGCTTTCCATGCACATTCTTTCAGCTCCTACATTGCAGCTTCACTTACCCGAGGCCACACCCTCACTTTATCAATCCGGTTCAAGATCTGCTTGAAGCCCTTAAGAAGGTTGGCATTGATGAAGGTTATGGCCACCCCGGCTGCTTGCTCTGTCTCAGGATCATCACAGCTCAGCTCCCTGTAAGCCAGCCCTCCGCCAAGAGGGACAGATTGGCAGCCCCAGAGCTGAGCAAGGCAAAGAAGCAGGATGAGGCACTGCATGGCTGCTCCAGAGAGGCCCCAGCAGGTGTGCAGGTGATGGGAGCCTTCAGGACCAACCCAGGTGCTCTGCTGGAAAAGGTACATGGATAGAGGGGCTGAGGGTTTTATTTATCTGTCAGAGCCACCAGAGAAATTGCATAAGGACTTGGGATGATTTCTGTTCTGTTTCCAAAAAACTCCTGGCAAACATCAGGCCCGGAAAAGCAAACAAGTTATGACACTCCTGGTGTCCCAGAAATCTGCCAAAGTCAATGCTGCTGGGGGCTGAGGTAGGAGAGATGCTCCAAAGTCAGCTTGGAACATGGGAACAGCAGCAAAGAGAGGAGGCAGTGGAGGGAAGAGGTGTGTGCAGAGGTGAGGAGAGGCGGCTCAGCCACCATGCAGTGCTGAGGAGTTGGCAGCAGAGGTAGTGCTCTTGTTGTGGCCTGAGCACACTGTGGGGTCTGTGAGGGGGACTGGGGACTTTCAGTAGTTCGATAAAATCCTTTAATGCGAGGGAGGATTATCTCCTCCAAGAGGAGGAGGATGTGGCCCACAGACGTAGCAAGGGAACAGATCATCTAGAGGAAGAAGGAGACCGTGGGTAAGATGCTTGGAGAATCAAAGGATGCAAGGGACATGTTTCTACTTGAAGTGGGAATGGGGTGAAAGGGGGGACTTCCTGCAGCAGAGGTTATGTAGCCCCAGAAGGGCTATACCCAGCAGGGCGGTGGGGAGTTGCCTACTTCCTCATCCTCTTTTCCCCAGACCTCACTGCCAGGACCCTGCCAGTTACAACACCAAAGGGCACTAATCTGAGTGAGTGTGATTGGTGCCAGTAGCCCCAGACCCCCAACCAGTACACACAGCAGCAGAAGGGACCTGGGTCTAACAGCACACACCTGGCAAACACACGGCGGGGGGTGGGGGTGGGGCCAGCTAAGAACACAAGTGCCCCTTTTGTGCCCTTCCCAATCTTAGTAGGAGTAGATTGAGTCTTTCTGACAAAGGCACTGGGATCTGCTTTAAAGTGGCCCTGGACAACCTCGGGCGTGACCTCCAAGGAGGGTGGGCAGGATGGCGAGGTGTTTGGAGCTTGTCATATCATCTGAGGACCTGGCGTGGTTCAGCCTGGAGCAAAGGAGCCCCAACATGGAAGCTAGTATGCTCTTCAAATATTTAGAGGTCACCACTGTGTAGGGGTATATTTGTTCTGTTGTTTGATATTGCTTCAGAGATGAAACCTTGGCTGGAATAAAAAAAAGGGGCCTTCTATGGGGAAACTTAGTAATACTGATTTGCTGGGGGAGGAGAGGAGGGACATAGAGAGGTGAGTGTGAAGGGGCAGAGAAGGTAGCTAGAAGGACTCCCAGCTGCTCATGCACTCATGCAGAATCGAAGTGCCAGGGGCTTAGGAGTTATGGTCAGGACTTCAAGCTCTCTCTGAGAGAAAGAGCCTGGCCCTTAGAGACTACAGACCAGTTCAGGTTGTCTAACAAGATGAACCTCAAAGTCATGGACAACTTTCCAGCAGTCTTATGCCCCATTCTCTTGAGTGCCTTGACGAATAAGCAAATTTTGGTGGCTGCTATACGTTGTCTTTAAATAATCTTTCAAAATACAAAATGCACTCATTACTGAAAATTTGAAAATCACTAAAATCTATGCAATGAGTTTTCTTTCCTATTTCAGAAACTCAGGTGTGTGAGATGTAACTGTATTTTCCGCAACACCGTTGAATTTCTGACTGAGCCCTCTTCTGTGAAAATTGAATCTAGTCATTGCCAGGTATCCTGATTTCCCAGAGACTTCAGCTGAAGCCCAGTGCCATTTAGGCCTGTCCTTATGCTTCTTCTCTCTCTCTCCCCCGCCCCAGGTTAGATGCAAACCTGAAGTGGGGGGAGTAACATATAAATACTATTTTATTGAAGGACAGAGAGAGCTGTCCCAGCCCCAGCCACCCCGTCACCACCACCTTTACCTTGTGCTCCAAGGGCCTGTGCTGGCATCTCTGCCAGGTAACCTGTCTCACCTGGTTTTCAGGCACTTCCACCTGCAGGTTCATGTCCTGCTGGTCTCCTTCTAATCCATAGGAGGACAGTTGTCTCTGTGTCCTTTGAAGAGTTTCCTTATCTCAGCTGTGGGACTCATTCTAGATCACATGCCTTCTCTCAGCTAAGCATGAGAAGATTTGGCTGCTGTGCCCAGTAAGCTGCCTTCAAGCCTGTCTGCCTAGACACCCCCCTCCAGTTGTGGCACCCCCACTGCTCTGGTGCCCCCTGCTACTTAAGGGCTTCTCGCTGTGGTGTGGTGCCTCTGTACCACCTCTGCTTCCCTTCCATGCTCCCCAGCCAAGAAGTGTGACTCAGGTCTTCTCTGCTCTGGGATTTTCCCATGATTCTTGAGGTGATTCTATTGCCATCCCAATCTGAGGGTAGGGGGAGGGTGTGAGGGAAGAAAATAAAGTTCCTATTTGATCATCCTATCTGATCATTTCTCATCCTTGAAGCATCCCTTTTGTTTTGGGATTTTCCATGGGTGACAATTTCTAAAGCATTAGGTATCGTCCTATTTCAGTGATGCCAGAAAAACAAAGCATATAATCAAGACTAATTAACAGCTCACCTATCAGGCTACCATATAAAAGCAAGAATACACAATCTCACCACCCAGAGATGAGCAATGTTGGTGTATAGCCATCTTATTTTTTCCTATGCAAAGGATTACTTTAATATAATTTATATCACACTACATATACAATTTATATTCTTTTTCCATTTAGTATTATAGCTTGAATATTTTCCCATGTCATTACATAGACTTAAAGATCATGTTTATAGATTGATGGAGGCTGTGCCCAGCAAACATGGCAGAGTAAGCTTCATCAGGAAAATACTTCCCAGAAAATAGATTAATATCTCATACATCTCGTATCAGCTTATCACCGGAGATGTCTGATTATGCACACACCTGCAAAAGGAAGGTGTAAGGCCAAAATCCCATGGATTTGGTGCTGTTGGGAGGAAGGGTGAAGCTGCAAACACAAAAGAGGCATAACACACAGCCACTGCCACCACCAGCCTTGAAATAGGGAGCAGGTGGAGGAGGGTCAGATTTGAGGGGACATAACACTAGAACTGCTGCACAGAGGTGGGGAGTCCCCATCACCCTCTCTCCCTAAAGCTGGAGGCAGTGGTCAGATTTTGAATTCCTGCAAATTTCACTGCCTGGGGTAGGCGGCAGAGGGCTCTCCTGTCATCCCTAGGAAAAGCAGGGAAGTTTGTTCTCAACATCTAAGCCTCAACTGCTGGATGTTGCAGCTATAGAACCCATCTTGTTTCCCTTCATCTCCTGGTCCACCACAGATGGGCAAACTCTGCTTACTATAAGGAAAACTGGCAGTTGAGCAGGCATGAATCTCACCTACTTGAGCTGCTGGCAGCTAGCTGGGCAACCCAAAAAACACCTCTCCCTCTCTCACCTTGACTCCTGGGGCTTCCCTGGGTTTCCAAGCCTACTACAGGTCTGTGAGCACCACCTCTCTGCTTCTCTGCCTTCCTAAAAGAGCGCAAACTTCTAGACAAGCCTGGAATTGATTTACCTGGGGATGCAGGTACCTCATTTAACAGTCATAAAGGGTATCTCCTTCTCCTCCCCTCAGAATCCCGAAACTTGCCTGAGCGCTTAGTGCATCTGAAGCAGTCAAGCACTGTCTACCATGAGGAACATGACTGTTGAGCAGGTACTGACCTGGGGTGCTGGCAGCGAGCTGGTTGTCCTAAGAAGCACCAGCCCCTCCCACATCAGGACTTGCCAGGTACTTGGACAGCTTAACTACTATGCAATCTGCAATTTCTCTTAGTACCTGCCTAAGTGTTAACTTAGCTGGTTGGAGAATCCTTTGTTGAATATCTTTGCTTTCAGCATATTGAAACTACCATGCCATTCCCTTCTGCTTGTAAGCTAGCATGCAGAATTGAAGGAGTGAGAGTTTCACGGGCCGACAACAGTGGAAGGCATTCACTTTCTCGAAACCTGCCTTATTTCATTATTTTAATTACTTCTTCATGCACTTTTCTGTGAGGCCCACATCATGGCATTTAAGCAACTCTCTTTCCATTCACATTATGTTTGACAATGTCTTGAGGAGATCATGGGCTTGTTCCAGCAAGTTGAGGGGAGCAGACCCAAAGGCCTAAGGAGAAAAGGACCAACAGCCTCCAGGAGATGGCAGCAGGGTGCAGGGCAGCACTTGCTGGTAGAGCTCCAGGTGGCTGAGAGTGGAGTTAGGAAGATGGCAACTCAGGATGGCACCAGGCCTTCTGAATTTGCAGTAGAGATCTCCACTGAGGAGGCAGTGATACATTCAAAACTATTCCAAAGCAGAATAGCACTTATAGCCAGTGAAGAGTCAGGACAAGCAGGATCATGGCAAACGGGGTGAGAGTTGTTGGGGATTAGATGGTACTGTTAGCCCTGCCAGCAGATACAGGACTCAGAGGGAAAGGATAGAGCAAGAAGGGGGCATAATATCCAATCAGGCAGCAAGAGCAAGACACCAGTATGTCACAAACAGGACATGAACATGTCAATACACATCAGCAAAAGCCAGAAGGCCAATTGGTTTTCATAGGGAGGAAGTGACAGTGGTTGGTGTTTAAATCATTGGGTCAGATTCCTGGCACTGCCCTTTTTAGTCTTAAACAACCTGGGCCCTGAGAGGCTGAGTGTTCGTTTCTGATGAACCTGGTATTTCTTCGGTCACATGGACATTGGACACGTACTATCCACGCCTTTAGGTGCCAGGATGGTGATGAGGAGACAATGTCTGCCTTCAGGGGCTTACTTTGGTTCATATGGTAGAGCAACATCTTATCAGCCAAGAACTATGAATTATTATATGAAATTATCATAATGTTTGCTCTGTGGAGACAGATTAGGATTTATTTCTCAAACATAAAACATGGGTCAATGGAAGGCAAATCACTCTTTTCCAAGGACCCATCAAGTCTCTTGTGGAG